AAGGCTTTTAGGACCAAATAGTAAGCTCTTGTGTCCAGGAGAAAATGAATATACTTACCAGTAATGTTAATGCTCACCCACAGCTCTTCTGGGAGGATCTAAATCATTGAAGCTTACTTTTCCTATAATTTCATACAAGTTGTATCAAACTCTATGCTCTTATCTCTGGCTCAGTTCTTTCAGTGGACTTAATGCTATTGAGAGTTATCCTTAATTTTTATTAGTAGTTTTTTCCCCCCTATTATCGTTGAGTAGAATTGGGTTGAATGGCTATTCACTGGCGGCTTGATGGATAGTGGATCATTTCTAGTGTTGCAAATAATGCTGCTATGTACATTCAAGTAGGAGTCCTTTTGTAGACATACATTTTCATTTCTCTTTGGTAACTAATAATGAAATTGCTGGGTCACATATTAAATGTCTGTTTATTAGAAATTGCCAAACTCTTTTTCCAAAGTGGCTGTATGGTAAATGCATTCCTGTCAGCAAAGTAAGGAGTTCTGGGGGGCCTACTGCATACGGTATTGTGCTGCTGACCAAAAGGCTGTGTGATTCTGTTATTTCAAATCCACTAACTGCTCTATGGGAAAAATAGGAGCTCTCTCTTGCCATAAAGAATTATGTCCTTGGAAACCCAATGCAGGTTTGCCATGAGACAGAATTGATTCAGGCAGTGAGTGAGAATTTTGTGTGTCAGCAGTGTAGGAGAGCCCCAGTCTATAGCCGATATAGGTACTGAACTTCATTTTCATTTAGCCATTCTAGTGGATATATAGGGAGTTCTTGTGGCCTAGATATAAGAAGCTGTGCTGCAGTCCCAAAAGCATTTGGTTCAGATCTACCAGCTACTACATGGGAGAAGGGGGGCCGGTCTCCTTCTGAGCAATTTACTGCCCCTAAAATCCCTCTGGAGGGTTAGCTATGGATTGGTTCCAACTCAGCAGTACCCAAGAACAGCGAGTAAATATGAAGCAATATTTCTTCAGAGTTTCCATTTGTATTTGCCTATTCACTAATAGTGTAGATTCATAACAATAATTACCAAACAGTATTAGATATAGCCTCTTAAACTCATTCGTAGACAAGGTTTTGATATGCCTGACACTATAGGGTCACTACAGACAGAAAACAGAAGTTTAGAAAATAAGAAGTGGTAGATCAGGAGAATCAACCCAGCTCTTAGCTGTACCTTCTAACACCCAGTTCTCCCGTCACTTATGTGCAACTCATTTTTTTTGTTCTTATTTAAAATAATAGTCACTACATTGTGAATGTTGCAGCTAGCATCATCAATAAAATGTACATGGATGGATGAAAAAATAATGTAGATTATCTTTTCATGTATTCATTTACCACCCATATGTCTTTTTTTTAAATTTTATTTTATATTGGTTTGCTCAGAGTTTGTATACATTGTGTTTCACACTATTCTTCATTCGTATTGTGTTTCATACTATCATTCACATGCATTGTTTTATAAACATATCTCTTCTTTGATCAAGTAACTGTTCACATTTCTTACTCAGTTAAAAAAAAGTGTTTTCATATTGACTACTGAGAGTTCTGTCATATGATCTGAATAGAGGTTCTTTATGAATTGCTTGTTTTGCCAAAAATTTTTTCCAACATGTACTCAAAAGGGCCCAACTCACTCAGCATTTTTTAAGCTGAAGGAACTGAAGAACAAATTCACGCTTCAAGTTGCAATACTTAAGGATGCTTTGGGCAAGATTTTAGATGATCCAGGAAGCATCAAAAGAAGATCATGAAAGGAGTATACAGAGTCACTGTACCAAAAAGAATTGACACAGAAGAATTTAATGAAACAACATGAACAAGCGCCTGTGGTAATGAAGGAAGAAATTCCAAATGCTCTGAAAGAATTGACAAAAAACAAGGCCCCAGGGAATTGACAGCATATTGCAACAGACGCTGGCCTGGATGTGCTCACCAAGTTGTGCCAAGAAATCAGGAGGACAACCACTTGGACAACTGACTGGGAGAGATCCATATTTGTTCCTGTTCCAAAGAAACATGACCTGAGAGAGTGCAGAAATTCCTGAACAATATCATAAATATCCCATGTAGGCAAGATTCTGCTAAAAATTATCCAAAAATGACTGGAACAACACATCAACAAAGAAATTCCAGATGTGCAGGCTGGGATTAGAAGAGGCTGTGATAAGAGGGATGTTATAGCTAATGTTATGTGGATCTTGGCTGAAAGCAGAGAGTACCAAGAAGAATGTCTATCTGTGTTTCGTTGACTATACAAAGGCGTTTGACTGTGTGGACCATAACAAACTGTGGCTGACTCTGAGAAGAATGACAATCCCAGAATATGTGATTGTGCTTATGTGAAACCTATACTTGGACCAGTAGGCAGTCAATAGAACGGAGCAAGGAAACACTGCATGTTTCAAAATCGAGAAGGGCATATGGCAGGTATGTGTCCTATCTCCATACCTTTTCAATCTATGTGCAGAACAGATCATCCAGGAGTCTGGGATCTATGAGGAAGAATGTGGCCTTGGGATTGGAGGAAGACTCATCAACAACCTTTGTTATGCAGATGACACAACCTTGCTTGCTGAAACTGAGAAGGACCTGAAGCGCTTGCTGTGGAAGGTCAAGGACTGCAGCCTTCAATATGGATTGAAACTCAACATCAAGAAAACAATGATTTGTACCACTGGGCCAATTGGCAGCATTATTATAGACAGTGAAGAGATTGAGACTGTCAACAGTTACAGTTCGCTTGGCTCCATAATCAACACTCTTGGTACCAACAGTCAGGAAATCAAAAGAAAAATATTGCATTGGGGAAAGTATGCTGTTAGGGACCTCTCCAGAGTACTGAAAAGCAATGATGTCAGTCTGGAGACTAAGGTATGCCTGATCCAGGCCTGCCATAGTCTTCTCAGTTACTTGCTATGCATTAGAAAGACGGTCAGTGACTAAGGATGATAGAAAGAGAATTGATGCCTTTGAGCTGTGGTGCTGGAGAAGAGTATTGAATATACCATGGACTGCTAGGAGAACAAGCAGGTTCATCTGAGAAAGGGTGAAACCAGGCTGCTCTTGAGAGGCAAGGATTCTGAAGCTTCATCTGACACACTTTGGGCATGTTTCAAGGAATGACCAGTCTTTGGAGAGGAGCATCATGTGTGGGAGGGTGGAGGGACAGTGCAAGAGAGGAAGACCCTAGATGAGATGAATTGACTCATTGAAGTAATAGGTGTAGGTATATTAAAGATAATAAGTTGGCACATGATAGAGCAGGGTTCAGAGCTGTTGTACATAGGGCCGCTATGAGTCGCCAGTGACTCAGCAGCACATAACAGCAGCATATGTACTCAGATCATTGCTCATGGGTTTCCAGGGTTGTAAATTGCATGGGAGGAGATTGCTTAAGTTTCTCTCATGGAACCACTGGTGAATTTGAACCCCAGAGAGGCACATGGCCTTTAGGTTAGCAGCATAACTCTCTATGGATTATGACACCAACTGAAAAACAAAACAAAAACACCAACAACAAACACCTTCAAAGTCATTACTGTTGAGGTAAAGTCATTGCACATCTCACTCCCTACCTGGGTTTTTACAAGCTATAAATTACATGGAAGGAGACTGCCTGTCTTTCTCCCTCAGAATTTCTAGTGGATTCTGCCTGAGAGTCATAGCCATTGCGTTAGCAGTAGGGCCGCTACAGAGTTCCCGACTTCATTCACAGTGCCCTTGAAAAACAAGCCAAAGAACTTTCATTAGGACTTGAGTGAAAGTTAACAGAGCAAATTGATTTAACATTGAACAATTTATGCACATTGTTTCTTTTAATAAAAAAATTAATTTTAATTGTGATTTTAATGAGAGTTTTGGACAGGTAACCATGGAAGTTACCAGATGAGTTGTTGGAGGATATCAAGGGTATCATCTAGGAAGAGTGCAAATGTTCATTACAAAGACAGAGGAGGAAGAAAAGACCAAAATGGATGTCAGAAGAAACTCTCAATATTGCACTGGAGTGCAGAGAAGCCAAGGCACAAGGAAGAATTCAATAAACTAAAGAACTGAACAGAAGATTCTAAAAGGCAGCCTGGGATGACAAAGCAAAATATTACCATGAAATGTGCAAGGAGCTGGAGTCGGAAAATCAAAAGGGTCAAATTCACTCAGCATTTCTTAAGCTCAAGGAACTGAAGAACAAATTCAAACCTCGAGTTGCTATAATCAAGGATGCTTTAGGCAGAATATTAAATGATCCA